ATTAAAGAGATCGCCCCACGTCACCTACCTCATTTAGCGGTTCAGAGTGGTAGTCTCGGCATTCGATCCACTTTACCTCGGTCTCTAATCTACGTTGTGCAGTACAAATCCACGTCGAGCAGTCTCGATCCACCCTAACCACCGGGCGTCGTCACTAATCCGTGATAATGAATCCTTGTCAGATCCCATCTCACATTTTCGAGAAAGCACATCACCACACAACGTACTTGTGAAAGTGCGTTGAGAATTACGCGGGCAGGATTCGACCGCTGTCAGAGCTTCTGAAAAAGGAGACTGAGTGGGTTTGGACTGCTGAGTGTCAGGAGGCCTTCAATACAGTCAAGCAGGCCTTGACGGAGGAGCTGATCTTGCCAGTGACGGACCAAAATCACCCATTCCACATCGCGTGTGACGCGGCCGATTTTGCGATCGGATGTGCGTCGATGCAACACGATCACGGGGGCCGTAATCGTGTGGTCTACTATCACTTGACAAGGAGCTCCTTGCCATGAAGTATACACTCGCGAAATTCCGAGTGTATTTATTTGTAGTAGACCGCTCGTGGTCTTCGCGACCACGCTTCACTGCGAGCGGCAGTGAAGACTCCACATATCTCGCATCGAATGGCGAGATGGTTATCGTACTTTGCGGGGTACGCCTTCCAGGTTGAGTACAAACCTGGAAGGTTGAATGTGGTGGCCGACGCGTTGTCGCGTCGACCTGATTATGTTGTTAAGACAGCCGACGTCAATCGAATTGGCGTCGAACGAGTAAGTGTTCCGTCGTCGACATTGACCGACGACGACAAGAACACGTAAGCAAGTAACGCAGACGCGAAACAACTGCTAGACGATGTCTGACGCGTCACGCCGAAAGTTATCCCAAAGCGGCGAGCTCGTGCACACCGATATCGTGTGCGCGAAGGATTGCGGCTTTTTAGCGCAGTGGACGACGATGCGGATCGCATCGCCATGACTATGGTCTGCGTATGCGGATCATGTACGAGTATCACGATGCCACTACGGCAAGGCATCCGGGCCGTGAGAAGACATCCACTCTTCTCACGAGAGACTTCTACTGGAACTACCAATACAAGTGGGTGCGCAAGTACAAACGTGCTTGCGAAGTGTGCCAACGCGTGAGGCCTGCTACGTATTCGCAGCTCCAGTACAATCATTACCGACACCGTCGGAGTGTTAGCAGTCCATTTCTATGGATATTGTTTATGGTCTTCCGCCAGACAAAAAGCGGAGGACTGGCGCTGTGATCTTTGTTGACCGATTCAGCAAGATAGTTCATCTTGCTGCAGTACCGGCTCAAGTCACGGTCGTGCAGACTGCACGACTGTTTATTGACATGGTGTTCCGACACCATGGAAGGGAGCTCGACATTGTATCGGACCGTGATCCACTTTACGGCTCGGTTCACAGCTGTCGATGTCGACTGCGGATCATCTACAGACGGACGGACAGACCGAGTGCGTGAATCGCGTGCTCGGTGACGTACTGAAGGGCTACGCACACTCGTTCCCGCAGTGGGGTGACTGCTTGCCGATGGAAAAATTTGCCATCAACAACTCGGTGCATGCCTCGACAGGGCATATGCCGTTCTATGTGAATGCCACCGCCATCCGCGCCAACCATGCTAGTTCGAAACGGTGAGCTCCTCCTTAAGTGGGGGGGATCTACAGTTGCGTCGAAACAATCACAGAAAAAAGCACTGATACCGACGTGGTGTCAGCGGTGACGACGCGAAGACAAGCGTCTCGTTCCCTGAACGAGACCAAGTACACCGTTTGTGTAGGGCACAGGCACCGCAAGTAAGAAGACGTCTGTGCAGAGCACAAACAGCGCGCAGGCCGGGCCTGCAGCGGAAACAAACACGTCTCAGCGAGGCACAGACAGCGCGCAGGATGGGCCTACTGCGGAGAAGGAAACCGTGCTGAACAAACCATTCAGCACCCAATCACTGGACTTTGTCCAGGACGCAATAGCAGCCTCTGTAGACAAACAGAAGCTGAACGCAGACAATGGCGGTAGCGGAAACACATATAAATTCAAAAAGGTTCATTAGTTCTGCTAGCTACGCAGAACCTACCACGACATGTAGGACAGCGAGCTCGGAGCTCTGGGATTGTTCCTGAGTGACAAGACGATCGTTCAGAGCGCGAGAGCCATGGTCAGCATGGGGCTGACCAAACGGAGGGCATCTTTCCACCACCGCCGCTGCGTGACGCGCACGGATCGACACGTTGGAATGTCGAACGGGTCGTGGACTATGAAGCCCCGAAGACAAAACCGAGACCAGGCTCGTCTTCGTATTCGTTGGAGACGATTTGCTTTCCATCGAGATACATGGAAGCCACGGGACGGCCTGATGAAGGACGTTCCGGAATTGGTGAGGGCGTACTAGGTCCAGAACCAAGCGTTGGCATACTGTCTGCATTAGAACTGCGAGTGCCACCGGCACGGGGTGCATCATGGTGCTTAAGTTGAGCGTGGAAATCTTGCAGTAGAGCGGGTACACGAACGGAAGTGTACCCGAGAAAATCGCGTTCAGAGCGTCGCACTGCCCCGAAGCAGCAGTGCGAACACGCAGCTACAGGTGAAACTGCGCAAGGCATTCTCGCCTCCATATCGTCATTATGGACATCTATTGATGAGATGACGCTTCGGGAAGGGCTCGAAGCGCTGGCGAGCCGCGACAATACGCTCGCGGTAGCCTTTCACCTTTTTGTTGAAGTTCACAACAAATGCGTTCCAAGATTGACAAAGTGACACCCACTCGGGCACTTTGCTTTTGTGCCACCTTTTCTTCGACGCATTCCGTCGGAGCTCATGGAAGAGTCTGATGTAGTAGTCGCGCCTTAGATTTGTTAACGGATCAAAGTGCATGTCGACGGCCTCAGCGTCATCATTGGTGGCGTTGCACACGTACACGCGTATCGGGTTCGGCGGCAATGTCGTGTCGAAACTGTCAGCGATTCCAGATGCAGTTGGCATCCAGGGGGCGCGTACTGCAGGTGCAGTACGCGGAGAAGAAAACGGCACCGACGGTTTGTCAGTCGTATCTTGTGCATGCTTTTGCTTAGGCTTAGCATGATATTGCGTGACAAAAATATCACTTTCTGTCGCGGGCGTGATCGCTTGCGCGGACACTAAAATTGTGGTACCTCCAGGTGCAGGCATTGACGTAGCGAAGTCTGCCGGAGCAGATTTTTGTGCGGGTGTCTTCCACGGCGAGCTCCTCGCGAAATGAACTCGGGTTTTTGAGGGCCTTGTCAATACTTTGAATGATGTGTTAAGACTAGATAAGTCTCAGCTTAACGAGGGGGGGGGGGGAGGTTAACGGGGTTACACGCAAAGTGGCTACACATAGCCATTTGATTACGAAATAGGTTGTCCCTATTGGTGTGAGCTACATCAATGGTTGCATCTGGTAGACTGCATGCATTCAAGGCGTTCAATTGGTTGAAAGTCAATATCTTCAACCAATTAGAATAGTGGGTTTTTGTCAACCATTCGCTAATAAATATAGCAAAGCTGATTTTCGGTAAAAATGAGAGCTGTTTATTTGTTTGCTTGGTTTTTTTCCTAATCTAATATTCTAAAGATTAAAAAGATATTAGATTAGGAAAAAAAAACCAAGCAAAGCTCTCATTTTTACCGGAAATCAGCTTTGCTTTCCTATTTAAGTAAATTTGTCTAAAATGAAAATGTACCCATTTAATCTTGGGTGACAGGAAAGCAAAACACCATTCTATCTTATAGTTTATTATGTATAACAGGCTCGCGCAATTAGACTCGGGTGGAGTAGAAATAACAATATTAGATTTATCATAACGAACACCCAAGGCACTCTTTGAACAAACAAACAGAGTTGTTTTATTTGCAAGACACGGTTAAGATACGGTTAGATGTAAGATGGAACGGTTTGGTGTGAGGGGCTTCAGTACTAACTGCAGTATCATGCCGTAAATTGTAAATACTTGCAGTATGACCGTGCAAGTACAGTAGTATTAATTCATGCCAATATTTGCAAAACACTTTTTTTATCCATTACTGGTTTGGAAGACCAGCCCTGGAAACAACCAAGGTACTACGCTGTGCTCTTTTCTTTACTTCCTTTGTGAGTTCCTTCCATGACCACCGTCCCGGTAGCATGCTCAACAAGAGTGAGACCGAAACAAGGACTCCAAGCCCAAGCCCGAGGGGGTTTTCCTCCACACCCCTCGCCAAACGAAAGCCGAACAAGGCCGCAACAGCGATCCCACCCGCATAGCAAGACAGTGCAGTTACTGTAGCCGCTTAATTCTGCTTCCGAAGCCGTTGATACACATTCTGTAGAACGGTGGTCGGTCCGTCAAGATTATCAAAAGGAGCCGCAGACTGGTCAACACCCTCGCTGGGATTACAGCTCCAATTTGCGACAGTGAATACTATCGAAACCAATTGTCTCAGTAGTTGTGCCACCTTGCATGCCACAACGGTAGCCAAAGCTGTTCGATTTTGGGGTAAAAGTCACCCGTAAACTATTTGCAGTCATCGGCAATTGCCACAACATACGTTCTGGTTGCCGTTTGCCATTTTGGCAAAACTTTGGGGCATGTTGGAAGACTGCAACTGTTGACTCAACAACATTTTACGTGCGTCTAAATTAGGCTCGGAATTTGTACAAATCCTGTGATACTAAACTTGAGTTCGATGTGAATCTATTGCAGCTCTAGTCTCACATCGGCAGCCTGCCAGTGACAACTTGCCCCGAGGAACTCATTCATCAGTGAAGGTTCGCCCTGTCTATAAATAAGGATGTGGTTCACTACTGATCATGTACCGGTAAATAGAATACAGTACATGAAATGCAATATTAATAGTTGTCGTCGGAATTCAACTTCAGTTTCATCTATGACACCACCACACATCCTCGATAACACAGCGTCAACTTGCAAGCTAGTGAAATGAACTTTACCACTCGACCAATCCACTCATCAAATATGAACTCGAGAACGAAAATAATGCATTTTTTTCATTCTGACAAACGGAACGCAACAACTACAAGCAAAAGACGAGCCAAGACGCAACTGTTCCGCTTACTCCAGTGAGAGAGACACGAGGTTCAGCGCCGGAGCGATCGTCAGCAACTCCCAACGTAACATTCCTTGCAACGTGTCGCCAGCATTACGATGCGCATGTTCCTCTCCACGGTAATCCGTGCGGCCGGTCCAGCGCAGTTGCTGGTACTCTTCGCCTGTGGCCGGGTTTATCACATTCAGGAACTCAATAGATAACGACAAATGCGCCCACGCCAGCTTGTCGATGAACTCGTCCTGCAGATGTGATCCATTGACGTCCACGCTCTGCGTGCCAAGGACGTATCCTGTGGCTTCTAGCATGGGCTCTTCGGTCTCTAAGTCCGAAATGGGCGACATTGGAGGTGTCGAAGGGCAGCTGGCGTCAACGTAGGTGGGTGTTGCCATGGACCCAGAGTTGGCGGGGAGTTGCTTGCTCGTTTCAATGAGGAAACGAACAAATACCGAGCGGAAAGTGGAAATGTCGTTAGTCGGGGAGACGACGTCTCGACCGAGCACGTATGCGTTCGGATTAATCTGTTGCAACACCTCCAAGCGGCTCGTCTCACATTTGACTTTCTTAAACCGATCCAGTCTCATGTCGTTCGCCCACGTCTTTTGCATGAGTTCGGCCACATTAAGTCCCTGGAATTTTTTAGTAAACACACATTCCATGACGCTGCCCTCCACCCTCTGTACGATATCCCAACCGAATGTCTGCAGTCTTTTCGTTCGCCTTGCTTCGCCATTCAGACTTGGAAGGAGCAATCTGTTTTGCACGCGGCCCATGGTGCGGTTGTTGTCCAAAATCACCCGTGTCAGATCCAGCTCTGTCAACGGGTGGAAGCCGAACACTTGGGCCGCTTCGTACTCGTCGATTCTGTCTAGTTGCATGCGTAGAGCCTCTGCGCCCCCCAACGCTGGCTGCTGGAACTGCTGGGCCCACCTCGGCCCATCCATTTCCGGACGACTCTCGAGGATTCTGTACAGATGCAACTTCCATGTGGCTTGTTGCTGGATTTCGGCCTTGAGATACAAATTCTCTGCCCCCAGTCTTTTGACCAGGTCCCCTGCTTGTGCATAATTCTTTGCTAGAACGCTGTTGCACGTAGTTAGACATGTCACATTGTCTGTGGTAGTGGATGTTCGTCGGCACATTTCTGCGTATTGCCTTTCCAGCCTGGCCACAGTGCTCTTCATCTCTTTCAGTTCATCTCGTTGCCGTTGCCTCGCTCGTCTCATGCAGTCGCGGTTCTTTTGCCGCCGTAGTTGCATTGCCCCCGCATTGGGCAGTTGCGCACAGTCGAGAACCTGCTCGGGCGCAACACTGGCCCATGTCAAGGGTCTAGTTGCCGAGGTTGTTGTTGCCTTTGACCTTTTTTTCGAACCTTTTGCACTTGACTGGTTAGTCACGCCTGCCGCCCAGACCGCATTTAGTTGCGACCCAAGCCCCGAACCACTCACAAATGGGGAGACAGGGGCCTGGTCTGCGCCTCTGACGGGGCTTTTACTGTCGCTGTCGTTGAGCATGTGGACAAACTCGCCGGGACTTTTGACGGGGCTGGCTCCGCTGATTGCCGCAATGGATTCATCCTCCTGGGGCATCTCGTCCCACATTGCGTCCTCGTAGCTGTCCAAGATGGACACGGCACTTGAGCGCCAGTCATCGTCGGCGGTGGCCATTGTTGCTGCCTCGTGCGTCATGGTGTGCCACTTGTTCACAATACAATAATAGGTATCACTTGTCCGGTGGCAAAGCGCAAGTGGCTGTTGCTGCTCACTTCGGCAATTGCAGAATGTCCCGTCTCTTGCGCATCCTGTCCACAACAAACTACAGTACCGGTAAAAGAAGCCATGTCTTGAAAGAAGTAAGCAACACAATCCCTTACTGAAATTCTGTCTAGTGGACTAAATTGATAGAGCCATTCTACTGTACCTTTGAGTGCAGGGTAAACAGCGGCGTTGGGTCGAGTAAGGTTCCCTCAGATGGGCACCGGCAGACCGTTTGCCAGGCTGCCAACGCCCGCCCTCTTGGCAAGAGCAAGAGTCTTGCGTGTGTCTTGGTTGGTCTCATGGTGCCGCGTCGATAGTCGCGCGAAGTAATTGTTATGGGTTGTGCGAGCAGTGAAATGTACACACGACAAGGCGTGTCCTCAAGGCCATCCGGCTCTGCGCTCTTTTCGCGCAAAAGTCTCGTTGCGGTCAAACATTTCATCATCGCGATCTTTCACACGGAATACCATTTTTGGTCTTCCATCGAAGCAAAGCAGGTGGCCTTTGCTGCGTGTTCAGCGCTTTGTCGATATATTTGTTGTTGTACTGTACCAACGCCAGAAACGTAGAAACTGAGGCTGCGTTGCAATGATCACTTACTTCAATCAAGTGCTTAAGTTGACTGTAACATGGTAAAAAATCGAATCGAAGAAGTTGGTAGTACTGTACATGTACCGGTATTCATTAAAACAATTTTTCCACCAATCACATCGTGGTTGCACTCTCTGTTGCACGCTTGGCGGGTATTTTTACAGTATCGTATGATATTTTTTGTAGTTGTAGTACTTTTTTCGAAACTATAAATCAATAGTAACCCAAAATTCTAAAAGTTAACATAATAGAGACGTTGTGGTACCAGTTAATTATACTTTGAGAATTGATAGTGAATTTTGTTTCGTTTTGGAGGGTCGATTTCTTCCTATTGCTGTCATTATTGATTAACTAGCCGAGCCAGGATGGTTAAACGTCATTTAGGCTCCAAGTTTATTAACGTTTCTTAATGGGGTCTACTAAACCAACTATAATTAGCACCTCTCGTGTTTTGTTGCTGTCTCACCGCTCCATTTGAATCGTATCCTACGTCCTTGTCCGTCCGCCCGCTAAGTAGTATCGGATTTTGCTGTCTAAAAATCTGTTAGAAAACAATGGTTTACAGCAGTAACACATGTGAGTTCTTTTTGTTCAATCTAAAACTATCCATCTTTATGGATCAAAAGACAACGTTTATTAGCACAGCGTTGTTCTAACGGTCAGTTCTTACGGCCAGCTTTTGTTGTATATGTACTACGATTTGGCGGTTCGGTCAGTTACCTCACACTCAGATAACTAATTACAACAAAACAGTTGTACAGTACTGCACCCCGTTTTCGCGGCGGAGGACCATATAGGATTTAAAAATAAACCAGATTTTAGCTTATTTTTAATAGTTCATTTAGATTCAGGATCATCACATCCGGAAGTTTATCAACGGTCCAAGGGGGGTGCAATACTGTAATTAATATTTTAGTCATTGTACCTTGCAAGTACCGAGTATTACGTATATTAATAGTACAGAGTACAGAAATCTGCCTGAATAAGGAACGCCTGATATAAATTAAGAAAGAGATTGCATAACCGTGCTAAAAACAGACAATGATATCGGATCATGTGCATGTACTAAATTAAGCTAGGATAAATTGAAGATTCGACTTTTGAATGAGACCAGTGATTCCAACAGTGCTGAATCGTGGAAGCGCTAGCTTTAGACGATGCAGCATCGCACCAGAGCAGTGCAGTTAGCTGGTCGACGTTGTACGCGTTGCCGGGGCCTTCGCCATCAAATACATACTTTACATGCAATTTAAATTGATTAAAACAATTATCTATCGTGCGCGCATGCATTCGTCGGGTGCGGTGCACGGGAGCAGATAGCGCACTGACCGTGCAGCCGCGCGCCTTCATTGCACGGTGGCAGTGGTGAGTGTAAAAAAGATATATATTCGCAAAGTCCCTACAAAAAGCGCTGATCGTGAGCCTACTTTAATATTAAAAAATATTATCGTCTCTTCTTTAGAAAGTCTGTGGAAAATAGCATCGCAGGGCTCTTACAAATGCGGCCTGTGAAGCTTATATTAGTAAAATTAATACTATTAATATCGTCTTTACTTTGAGTGTGTGGAAAATAACATCCCAGTCTGTGAAGTCTACATTAATAATAATAAATATCTCTATTTGAGAAGTGTGCAGAGCTCTTAGAACATAAAATGGTTACTGTGCCCGATTTGCAGTACATACGACAGGTTTTGCGTAGCTAAATGTAAATAATCAATCATCAGCGCAGCTCGCCTGGCTGTTTGCAACCAATCAATGCGTTTCGTACTCGGCAGAAATGTTTACTTCACGTCCAATCGCGAGGGCGAGAGACGGTCTGATCGTGCAACAGATCCAGTCAGTCTCGCAGGTCGGCAGGTATTGCCCAATCAGGGCTCGAGTTAATTGTTTCCGCTTTTTGGCCATAATTGTAATTTAGGCATAGTTAAGTCGAGTCAGAAAGATAGGCGCGGTCGGTACGATGGGACGTAAATGTATAAGACAGGCTAAGTGTAGCCATGCGAAAAGGCAGGAAAAAGCAGGAAGAGAGGAAAGCGACGGACTGATTGACAGACGGACGGACAGACAGACTACAAGGTTAGAAGCGGAGAGACTAGCGCTCTGGGCGCCCGCTCCGCGGACGCTAAGGCATGGTCGGTTGGTGTAGAGAGGGCCGACCACCTCCGCTGCGCTGCGGTGGGCTTAGAGTTTCTACTCAAAGCAAAGCAACGTATAGTACATGGACACTGTGATCTACGTATATTACGTTCCAAAACAACACCGCACACAGTATCCTTAGTGCTCACATGTTATGGTAGACATGGTCCGGGTTTAACGTGATCTGCAAGATGAGCACCATTTTACCCGGAAGGTTTTGTCTATAATCTCATTTAAGCGCATAGCTCCCAAAATAATATCAATCGGAGGCGCGCGAGGTTGCAAAGCTAATGTATGCTGTACGGAAGACGGGTCAGTATCAATGATGCTACGAAATATACATAGATCGTTGAGAAATTCCAGTGTAGCTGGAGTAAATGCCCTACTCAAACACATTACCCATCTACACGTCATCACCGTGAGGCAGCCGACACCTTATCACTGCTTGCGACGGTCTATTAGAGCAAGGTTTAGTCAGCTCCACGCGCGAAGTATTTTTTACGATAGGTAGTATTTGCCGATGGTCGCCACAAACACCAATATTATGCTTTGGAATTATTTTGCTGAGCTGTTTGCGATATTACGGAAGGGTCTTTCCACTATCTTCCGCATGCATTGAATCTACTTGCATAGCTGACGCACTTACTGACTTATTTGCATAGCTACTGACTGACAGAGTGGCGTAGATCCTTTCGAGTGACATTTACTGGTTCCGATATGTATGACGAACATACGAAGCCACATAACGGTAGGTAGATTATCAGGTCATAGTGGTGTTTAGATGTGAATCGAATAGTAGCTCATGTACATTATATGAAGTATTTTGCTGCCTACTTATCACCTCGGCGTGCTATTTGATATGTCCGTGCATATATTGCGAGGTCGTTAATGAGTGTATACCACGCGCTCGTGATATCTAAAACCTATGTATAGGTTCACTGTCGCTCTCTCGGTACATTTGCGTCGTCGTGCTGGATTACTGTGCTTACGCTTCTGATGTATCAGTCTATATGACCAAGCAGGTCACTAACTGGGCACAGACCATACTGCAGCGATACTGGACAGGGCACTAAAGTATAGTACTGCGTACAGACAGTTCGACTTACCACACCCACCGGTATTGTTTGCGCTACCGCACACGTGCTCGTATCTATGTAGACAGCAACTTAATCGTCGCGTGTAGTGCTCACTCGATGCTGTAGTTTCAATTTGTGAGCGCACATTAATGGAACATACGCTGTGAGCGCTGATGTCACAGATAGCATGGTTTGCATGTATCCAAGTGAGCGAGTGTACTCTCGATCTATTGTTACGCGGAAGCAGATAGGGACGGTCAGCTTGCAAGGGTTCGCAGTAGACACCATGCGCTAATTATTATTTGAAACGCGCTATCCTCTGTAGGTGCGTCAACACTATTGGCAGCGCCATAGTCAGTTACCGTATGTGCGGCTCCAAGAACCTCGTACCGTCAACCAGTATACTAAATACAAATATAGGTAGGAAAATGGGGGCCTAAAGGGTATATTTACCAATTACTTGCTCTTCTCGCTGCTTCTTTTGCTCGATGTACTTGGCGTTTCGGGCGGTCAGCTTGCGAGGGCGGCTGCGCCTCTTTTTCTTCTTGGGGTACCAGTCAGGACCCATCGCCTTCTTGACGTTTGACAGGCTTTCTTGGAGGCGCACTTCGGCCGAACCAGGAGGTGGGGGCTTTTCCTCCCAGAACTCAACCGCTTTTGGGCCGTTCTCGCAGACAATACAGCGCCGCATGATGTCCCGCCCGCTGATTGTACGGAATGCGTTGTCGTACTGCAGCTTCTCGCAGCAGACGCAGCGCGCCCGGGAATCCGTCGTAGACCGCTGCGGATTCAGCAGTTGCAGGCCAATATTGGCCTTGCACGTGGGCCTCGCCATGTTGCAAACTGTGAAGGAAATTTTATATCACTAACGTGCGTAAAAAAATATTAGGTATTCTAACGGATACTTACTGCTGGGTGTTTAATATTTAGCAAAATATTAAATAGTATTATTATATCATAAACATAATATTATTTTAACCAATAAAGTACGTCAAAATATTTAGCCAGTACACGGCCATTTAATGCCGGTACTCATTATTACACAAAAAAAAGTGTTATTTTAGTTTTTAGCAATCGCTTAAATAATAATATTATTAATTTTAAACAATCATACTTTTCAGCAATAAC